ATAAATAAAAATAAAAATTAAAATAAAAATAATAAAAAAAATAATAAATTTTTTTAAAACAATTAGCTTATGTATTATAATTATGGATATTAGGGCCTTGCTATTATTTTCATAAAATAAGGTATAAAACCTGAACTTGTCAATATGGAAAACGCAGTAAATTATTTGTAACTTCAGGTTAGGGTCTGGGTGAAAGAATGGATCATTAGAAGCCATCTAAAAGTGAACCAAAAAATAGTCGGCCTAATAATAATGACACCTGTTAAGCGTGGGAGCGTTATGAACACTAGTTATTGAAATAATTAGATTATTAGGTTAGAAACATTAGTGATCTATAAGCCGCGTTGGAAAATCATGATTTCTCAGTATAAAGATAAACTAAGTAGGGTGGAGGAGGGAAGGAATAGCTTAATAAGTATTGCTTTAATATCCTTAAGATGAAATTAACAAGCAAAACATAAGTTGAAAATGATTCCGAGGCATCATTATGAACAGGTCAACTATTAATCGATAATATGTTTCAGATAATTTATGGAATAAGTGATAGACATATGGATTAAGATGGCGAATTAAATATAAAGAGGGTTGATAGATAATTCCGTCATAGATTGAGCCCTCGAAATAACCCTACGATTATTATACATAACGAAAATTACAAGAAAAATTTTCTTAAATTTTTGGAATATTAAAAGTTAACAATTTTTTTTTTACTTTGCATTAAGAAAAAGAGTTTAGTTGCTAGATAATAATTGGAATCTTAATGAATCAAATTTTCTTATCTGTAGGGTTAAATTAAATTTCAATATTGTTTTGTTTATATTTGCAAATTATATATTTGTTTTTTCATAAAGAAATGCGTAATAAAATGTTAACTATATAATATATATATAGTTAAGCATTTTATTGAAAGGCTGGGTTAATTATAAGATTTTTATTTTCATAAGATTTGCCTAGCACGGAAATGTTTATTCTAAACATTGACATATTTGGCTCGGTCTAGACTTCAATACAATCAATAATACCCCCACTCACTTTGTCCTGTCGGTCTGTATTTTCGCTCTTAGTCTGTCTCCTTTGGTATTGAAAGCAATTTCTTATTAACTATTTACAATTTTCCATGCGTCCATTTCTTATTCTGTCCCACTAGATTCAATTCGAGCGACGAATTGGTTCTTAAGGGGGGGAGATTGTAATACCGCCGAATTTTTATTTTTTAAAACTTTTAGAATTTTTTATTAAATCAAAATCGTAGATTTATGTTGATATGGGCTATAAGATTTCGAGTAATTCTTAATTGAGCCCAAAGGTTTTTACGCAATTGGGCTCAAGCCCCTCTCTTAAAAACAATATTATTTAGAATTTTCGTATTGCGGTAATACTTAAAATTTCGATTTTGAAAATTAAAAAGCGAAACACTAATGTTAATCGATTAAAAATGTTGTCCTTGTTATATCTATGTAACTACATATAAATAAATTAATCAGCCTAAAATTAAAAAATCTTTGTTATTAAGTATTTTATGAAATAAAAATGAGAAAAAATATTACGGAATTGAACGAACAATAATTCAAAATAACTCTCGAAACTGGACCCCAAATCAAATTAACTTTTTCGTCAAAAAACCAGATGCAAAAATCCATTAAATCAATTTGAAAAACAAAGTCTAAAAAACCAATGATTTAAACCAAACCAGACTCGATCGGACCCAAACCCCATTCCACCCAATTAGAAAATATCTAGACAAAATAACAAAAAAAAAAAAAAAAAAAAAAAAGAAAACAAAAAAAGAGAAAAAAAAGAGAAACGAGAAGGAGAGACATACAGTTGGGATCTCTCTCTCGCTCTTTCTCTCTCCAACAAAACCCACCTTCCTTCCTCTTTCTTCTCGTTCTCTGACCACCCGGACGGCCAAATTCCGGCAAATAGATACTCTAAAAATATCTACTCGTTCGCAATAGGAGTTTGATTTAAACTTTGGTTTGCCGCGGTGTTGGAGCCCGGAGTTGAGAGGAAATTCTCGACCGAAACGGTTTAGCACCGTGCCAACTTCTCCGGCGATTTCCCCATCGTTTCCGATGACTTTGAGGTGTCGAGGTAGGTGTTGGATCGACTCCTTCTCTCTTCCTCTTTCATTTGGTAGGCTTCCTCGTCGACTGTAATAGCCGGAATCGGAAAACCCAAAATTGGGTATCACCGAAAAAACCTTTCCGGTCAATTTTCGGCCAAAATAAGTCTACAACCCACCTTGTTTGATCAAATGGCTTCATTCTTATACATATAGTCGTTATCCTCTCAAAGTGCGAAACGAATAAAAGATGATATCGTTTGTCAATTTTGGAGTTTTTTGAAGAGAGTAATTACTTCTTTCCCGTGTCCACCATTATGACCAACGTCGGCCTGACCGGCGGGACGTGGTGGTCCGGGCCGAGACTCGACGAAGACCCCCGCAGAGGCAGAATGATCTCCTACGTTTCGCCGCGGGATTTCACGTGACATAAAAAATCGATGTTTCAAATCGGTTACCACTCTAAAGCTTAATTCGCAATTTTCTTGAATAAATCCCGGAATTAATTAATTAATGAACTTAATTAAGTATTTATAGTTAAATTAAATTAAATTAAATTAAATATTGTTAAATATATTCATGAATATTTAATTATTTAAGGTTAGGTTACTAAAATTATATATTCCTAGCTAATAATAACTTTTAGGAAATTATTAACAAAATAAATTAGTTATAAAACCAATTTAATTTTTTATGGCTTTTGTGAATTAAGTGAGAATCCGAATTAAAATGAACTTGGTTTTATATTGGCGGGACGGGGGAGCATTAGTTAGTTTATGAATTTGCCCGATGGATGGGCTGTGCCGTGTGGATTGTGAATAATTTTTGATTAAATGGGTAGTACAGTTTATAGAGGAAATTGCTGCCGAATTTCGTCGCGAAACACTTAGCTAAAAGAAATCCGTTAATTAGATAATACGACTAAATGATTATCGTTTGTGATTATTTATATTATCAACGTAATTAATACTATTTAATAATATTATTATTGATTAATATCGTATTCTTCTTAGCTTATTTATAAAATATACTTAACGGATAACTAAACGTTTTTATTTAAAAGGCGATAAATCCTAGAATAAATAATATAAATAAGGTAAACCCAATATATATCTTAATAATGTTGAATTTAAAATACTGGAAACCCAAAACAAATAAACCGAATATGAAAAAACCAAATTAAACTTTCTACTTAGAATTTTTATTTGTTTATTTTACAAGAGGTTTATAAACATTATTCTTGTGAAATTGCAGTACGCAGAGGACAAGGCTGCGAAGCATGTGGCTAGAAAGGCAGTCCCTTAAGAGGGCAATAAAGATGATCTGAAGTAGTGTTAGTTTAGATAATTCACCTCAATCCGGCCATGCATGCATAGCAATTCAACTGCCATAATGTTTATCATGCATTGTTTTATTGAAGTTGCCCATATGATGCATCTATTTGTTGATAGTAAAAATTGATTACTGTGCTATGAAAAACGTGCCTTGTTTGTGTGGAATTGGGTGAAGTGGACCCCATGGGTTTGTGAGACGGTCAGACCAAAATTATTGATATTGACTGTTGTCGGCCGAAAAGAGATGCGGCGCCCCCTGGTGTGCACCTGATTGATTATGGGTTTGATATAGAACCACAGAGGCATAGGCCTCTTGTTGATTTGCGCACACTGATAGATCTAGATTTTGATTGTAGCCCGCAGTGGGTGGGCCCTCCTTGTGAAGCCACTCTGATATCTACGGATTGGAAATGGGAAGACCACCGGGTTGCCTCCTGTTGGTATGGAAAAGGAACAAGATGAGAGAATGGAAAAAAAACAATGAGAGGACTGGTTCGTGAGATTTAGGACCAGTTGGCCGTATGGGGGATCGCGCTCCCTGGCTGCACATTGTATGAGAGGCGCGCCAGAGCACATGGCGCTCCATTGATGGCCATTGAGAGCAAGCAGCTGGCATGTGTAGGAGGGGAACGGCTCGTTTGGTGGGTTTCATGGTGGCTGCCACTGTTGACTACATTTCCACCATTGATCGTGGATCTCATCATGAATTTTGTTTGATAATTAATTTATGTGAATTTGCTTGTTTGTTCTATTGCCCATTTGTGTGAAAAACTGCTAATGATCATTATAAACTAAATGGGGTGACCACATTAAAATATTTTAGCATTGTACGATTAGCACCTGTGGTTCGGTGGAGAGTTATCTATCTGCTTCACTGAGCTTTAGTACTTCACCCCCCTTCCAACCTCCCCAGGTAATAAGATGGAAAGAAGAATCCTTGGAGAGTCCAAATGAACGAACGAGATGTTGGATCGATAAGAGTAATAATTATTGAATATGTAAATGCAAAAGGGGTAGCGAATTATGGAGTAGAGTTCCGCAATTGTATTCCTCAACTTGTGGAGTTGTTAAATGAACAAATAGAGTATAACATTATTATTTGGATTTGTATTTTGGATATTAATCGTGAAATAAATTATTGGGGCCTGGAATCCACAATTGTGATTAGAGCGAGTTTTTAATAGTACATGGCTTACTACGGGCTTCGGGGGCTTTAAGCCACCCAGGTCCTAGTGCCGGTACCGGGCCCATGGCAAAGCGAGTTTTAAATAGTACAGGCTTACTACGGGCTTCGGGGGCCTTAAGCCTACCCAGGTCCTAGTGCCGGTCCGGCCCATGGAAATGGGTCGTGACAAGATGTTACACTATAAAATATGTTAAAAAAATTCATTATATATGTAAAGTGCAATATTAATCGATCATTATATTTATTTTAATCGAAATAAAAATTTATATTTTAATATTATATAAATATCAAATTAAACAAATAAAGTCAACCAACTTCATCAAAGAACTAGTAATCTCTAAAATGGTAATCCTCTGGTTGTAATAAAGAACGGCGTCGTATTTGGCATTAAGATAAGAAGGCTCTGTTAAGAATTTCCTTCGGTGAATCCAACGGCCGGAAAATATTCCAAAATTGCAGTCACAAACAATGACTCGCAACGGTCTGTTCTTCTCCAGACTCGGTGAGTCACTGAGTCAGCTCGTCTCTTTCTCTCACACCAAACCCTTTTCCACTCTCTTCCTCTCTTTTCTCTTGCCTCTGCATATCCTCTCCTTTCTCTTTCTTTCCTTCCTTTCCTTTCCCTTTCGCTCGTGCCCTTTTTCGTCTTTTCGTCTTTTCCACATCCTCTTCTTCTCCAAATCAGACGGCCCACTCTCTTCCACGTCACCATCGTCTTCTTCACCACCCCTCCTGTCATCTTCCTTCTCCTTTCTCCCTCTCTTTCTCTCTATCCTTTTTCTTTCTTCATTTATTTATTTTTTATTTACACATACGCTCAATAAATTGCCCCTCTCTCTTAGGGTTTCTTGGTTTCTCCCAAAACTCAATATCCTCTATATATCTCAGATGTTTCGAATTTCGCTCTTCGCTCTCCAATCTAGGCGTCGAAGTTTAATTCATCGATAAGGAGGTAATGATTTATAATTGGGATTTTGTTTGTTTGGAATTTTTTTTCCAGTTATTGTATTTTCTGCTTTTGTGGTTGCAAACTATAAAGCTTTTTAATTTATGTTCGTTTTTGTTAGGGTTTTGATTTGTTACCATTCCAAAAATTTCAAATTTTTGGTGAATAATTGGAGGGATCAGTAGTGTATAACTGGTTTTGGTTTCTCCTTGTTGGAGTGCGTGATTGTTTTGGTTATGTCTGATGGCGATTGAGAAGAACTGCTTCAAGGGCTCTAGGTTCGATCCAGATTTTTCTCCTAATAGTAGGGAGAGCATGTCTAGTGATGAAGAAGAGGTTCAGCGTCGAGTCTCTGCTGCTGAATCTGACGATGACGATGATGAATTTGATGATGCTGACTCTGGGGCAGGATCTGATGATTTTGATTTATTAGAACTAGGGGAAACTGGAGCTGAGTTTTGTCAAATTGGGAATTTAACTTGTAGTGTTCCTTTTGAATTGTACGATCTTTCGGGTTTGGAGGATATATTGTCTGTTGATGTGTGGAATGAGGTTTTAAGTGAGGAGGAAAGATTTAGTCTGGCTAAATATTTGCCTGATTTGGACCAGGACATCTTTGCGAGAACTCTCAAAGAGCTTTTTGAGGGTCAGAATTTTCATTTTGGTAGCCCTATTAAGAAGCTGTTTGAAATGTTGAAGGGAGGATTATGTGAGCCCAGGGTTGCTCTTTATAGGGAGGGTTTGAGTTTCTTTCAGAAGAGGCAGCATTACCATCATTTGAGGAAGCATCAGAATAATATGGTCAGTAATTTATGTCAGATAAGGGATGCTTGGCTTAATTGTAGGGGATATAGTATTGAAGAGAAACTTAGGGTTTTGAATATTATGAAGAGTGAAAAGAGTTTGATGTTTGAGAAGATGGAGGAAGATTTGGAGAGTGACTCATCGGAGAAAGAGGAGTTAGGTGATGGGCGATGGGGCAAAAGGGTTAAGGAAAGGAAAAGTGCCCTGAAATTGGGTCGTAATTCTGCATATGGGAGTAGTTCAAATTTGGAATTTCCTTCACAAATGCCTGCGGTGAATTTAGAAGTGACAAAGTATGGGAAGCAGAATCCAAAAGGTATACTGAAGTTGTCTGGGTCGAAAGCTTTTTCATCGAAGGAGATGATGGGTCAGTCTCCTTCTGGTTACCATGGCTTGGAACCAAATTCTCGGCCATATGATTTATCAGTGCCAATTTCTCGTCAGAAGGTGATGGGATATGACGCAGGGGCAGCCCTCAGGCTAAGAGATCAGATGAAAATTAATGATGATGATGATGATGCAGAAGATGCAATGTATGGGATGGGCATCCAACGAGACAGAAATGTGACACGTAGTGGTGTGATGGGGAAATCTGGGGTTTTAAGAGCAGGAAAGAAGCACGAGCTCCTGAGAAGTGAGGATTTAGAGACTGATGATTTCTCGGGCTTTCCTTTCTCATCAAAGAATGATTTGTATGCCTATGGAAGGAGCAGGAATGCAAATAATCTATCAGAATTGAAAGGGGTCACAGCTAAGCCACCTAATATCAGAATTTCCCATGAGTTTGGCAAAAAGGCAAAATATCCTGAAAATGTTCAGCAATTTGATGCTGGAGATCAGATAAGGTCAATGAAAAGAACACCAAAAACTACTTTGAAGGGTAATCGGGTTGATTTGTCAAAACATAGTGAGCCTATTTGGCATGGAAAGAACAAGGGACGCATCCTCTCTGTAGATTCCTCTTTGAAATCTGATGAGTGGAATGTGAGAAGCAAGAAGTGGAAGACAGGGAGGGAGTCCCCAGATCTCAATTTTAAAACTTATCAGCCTTCATCTCCACAAGTGAATGATAGTATCCTGCTTTCTGAATTGAGAAAACCATCAAAAGAGAAGTTTAGAGCAAATTTTGTATATAATGGGGGACTAGATAAAGGAGCTAAGAAATTGAGCAGGATGTACGTTAAAAATGAAGAAACAGAATCCGACTCATCTGAGCAATTTGATGATGAGGAGGATGATAGCAATCTTTTGATGAGAAGCAAGTCAGCTTATACCAGTAGTCTCATGGGGGGTTCTCGATCATCCTTGTTAAAATCTGGCCTAGATGCTAAAAAGGGAAAGTTGGTTAGGAAAGATATGCAGGACAATGCACTGGCTTTTGATGGAATGACTGATTTCAATAAAAAGGTGGCTGGCTTCAGTGAGGTTGGAAACATGTCAGGATATTCATCAAAAGCAAAACAGAAGGGTAAGATGCGGGAAAGCAGTCCGTTACATAGCTTTGGCGCAAGAGTTTTGGAAAACAGCTCTCCATTTGTCTTGGGTAAAGTTACAGATGAAGATGACAGGAAAAGAAGTCATAAATTTGGCAAGAATGGGCAGTTGCGAGAATCTGGTGAAAGGTTACGCATATCCTCATTGAAGACTTATCCTTCTGACCGAAAGCAGAAACAGGAGGTCAGTCATGATTACACTATCGATGAGGAGGATGATTCACTTGAAACACGTCTATTGGCAGATGAAAATGTGCTAGTTAGAATGGGGAAGAAAGGAAAGAGCAGTGAAGCATATGTTCATGATCGACATGATAGATCTGATGCTTCGTTTTTAGGGTTCAATGCAGTGACAAAGAAACGGAGAGCAAAGGAGGAATTGCCTGACATTGATGGAAGAGATGAAGATGGCAATATGCAGCCTAATCTTCAACAGCATATTGATAATTCTGTTTCATTGAAAAAAAAGGGGAAAAGAAAAGTGGAGACTGACATTTGCACTTCAGATATGGAAACTTCTGAGCCTGCCATTGCCGAAATGGGAACAGTGGACATGGATCTGGAAACCAAACCGCAAAAAAAGCCATATACACCAATTACGCCTACAGTTCATACTGGCTTCTCATTTTCCATCATACATCTCCTTTCAGCAGTTCGCTTAGCAATGATCAGTCCTCATGCAGAAGATTCCTTAGAGGTTGTCAGACCTAGTGAGGAGCAGAATGGAAAGCTCGATGGAGATACAAATGGGGTTGTTTCTCATGAGAGTGCAGATACCAATAAATCAGACCATGCTGTAACGTTGAATGTGCCATCCCTTACTGTGCAAGAGATTGTTAACCGTGTGAGATCAAACCCTGGGGATCCTTGCATTCTTGAGACGCAAGAACCACTTCAGGATCTGGTCAGAGGAGTTCTTAAGATATTTTCATCAAAAACAGCACCTCTAGGAGCCAAGGGTTGGAAGGCACTGGTGGTGTATGAAAAATCTACCAAGAGTTGGTCTTGGATTGGTCCAGTTTCTCACACCTCAACTGATCATGAGACTGTTGAAGAGGTTACATCCCCTGAATATTGGGGCCTTCCTCATAAAATGCTTGTCAAGTTGGTAGATTCATTTGCAAATTGGCTGAAAAGTGGTCAGGAGACTCTTCAACAAATTGGAAGTCTTCCAGCACCACCTGTGGCGCTAATGCAATGTAGCCTGGATGAGAAAGAGAGGTTCAGGGACTTGAGAGCGCAGAAAAGTCTCAGCACTATTAGCCCAAGCTCTGAAGAAGTGAGGGCTTATTTCCGCAAGGAAGAAGTTCTAAGGTATTCCATTCCTGACAGAGCCTTCTCTTACACAGCTGCTGATGGTAAAAAATCCATTGTTGCTCCCTTGAGAAGGTGTGGTGGTAAGCCTACTTCAAAAGCCCGAGACCATTTCATGTTGAAGCGTGATCGGCCACCTCATGTTACAATTCTTTGTCTTGTCAGAGATGCAGCTGCCAGATTACCTGGCTCTATTGGCACTAGAGCAGATGTTTGTACTTTGATTAGGGACTCTCAATATATCGTTGAAGAAGTGTCTGATGCTCAAGTGAATCAAGTTGTTAGTGGAGCTTTGGACCGTTTGCATTATGAACGTGATCCATGTGTACAATTTGACGGGGAAAGGAAATTGTGGGTTTACTTGCATAGAGAGAGAGAAGAAGAAGATTTTGAAGATGATGGTACTTCATCTACGAAGAAATGGAAGAGACAGAAAAAGGACCCGGCTGACCAACCTGAACAAGGGGCTGTAACTGTTGCTTTTCATGGGAATTTGGATCAGTCTGGATTTGATTTGGGCTCTGACCTCAATGTTGAGCCACCAGGCCCTGATGATGATAAAAGAACGGATCTTGTGTATAACAATGCGAAACAAAGTGTAGAGGATATTGCTGAAACCAGTCATGTGTCAGAACAAGGCAACATGCATCAGGATCATCTTTGGGAAACCCTTAGTAATCCAGTTTCTGAGAATAAATTGTTATGTCAAGAAAATTCCACAAATGAAGACTTTGATGATGAAACATTTGGGAGAGAGAGGCCTGTTGGACTGTTAAGTGCAAGCTTATTATGAAGAATAGTTCAGGTAGTTCTCAATATCATTGAGTCTCTAATTTAGGATATTTCTGAATTGGATGCCCATATTTTCATCAATAATTAAATCCATTCCAGAACCTGTGCTTTTTTAATTTAGAATATTTTTCCTGCTCAGGTAATGGACCTCTCACAGGCTTAATGTTGAGGTCTTTGATAGATATTAGGTGTTTGACAACATGATATGAGTTAAATGAGATTCGCAAGTGGGTGTACTTAAAAAATGGTCTAGGTTTTTCCTTTTGACATTTTTGTAAGGATTAACAATTATGTACAATATTAAGATAGAGCACTTGTTCTCTGTGGAGTTTTCTTCCTAATTATGTTTTAATAGTGCCCCATGTTAATGCTCAGAGAGGCAATGGTATATATTGTATTTTGATTACATGATTCTTTTAATCATGCAAGCATTAAACAGGGTTCTCTAACAAAGCAGCTGTTGGATGTGTTTTGCAGGTCCATCAATGTCAAGAAGGGCCATTCCTTTTCAAGGTGTGCTAGACATAAAAAGTTCAAATGTATATCAATTCTAATGCACACTGTAGAATAGCAAGAAGTCTTTGTTGAGGCTCAAGAAATATTCCCCCTTTTTTTACTTTTTTTTTTCCTTATTATCTAGATAATTTTCAAATATAGTTCATTGTTTCCCTTGAAATGAGTGAGTTGGAAGGAAGCGGTATTTGTGTAGCGTCACAAGATAGAACCCTAGTTTTCTCTGTACATATTGGTTTAGAAAAGGTAATTTAACAGCAGTTATACATAATATTAAAAGGATTTATCTATATGAACGGATGCCAATTTTTTATTAATTCGAAAATGTGAATAATATTAAAAGCTGAGGGAGAAACTTGAACAAGAGAGCCTCCCACGGCAAGTTAAACATTACTAGATAGTAGACCCTCTTACATATTGGCAAGGTTTGATGGTTCGATAAAAGTTTTTGGACTGAAAAATTATCACTTTTCGTAGAGCTACAATTAAAGGAAAATAACCAAACTCTATGGTGCACAGAAAACCGTCGTGCGATGAACCAAACAATAAGATGTATGGTATATTTCTACATCCGCAATAAAATTTCTTTAAGCAAACAATCAATGAATAAGAAGAAAGCCAGGCGCAACTGAGTTCATACTCCACCCCGTATTATATTCATTCTGTACACAAATCCCTCCTAACTCCTTACCTATACTCTATCTGACGTGAATTTAATTAATAGCAGTGAGAGGAGCTCTGGAGTCTCTCAAAGCTTCATAAGCAGCAGCTAAATGCTTTAAATCTCCATTGGCATGCTTCGCAAACTTTGTATCCCAGAATGATCTTAATAATTCCTCAAATGCAGGAGTTCTTAGTTCCTCGATTGATGCAATACTTGGCAGATTGAATGACCTCTTTCTTGGTGTTGAACAAGAAGGTTCATCCACCTGTTAGTTGGAACATTTTAAAAAAAATATTAGTTGACAGTATATGCATGCAGAAGCAACTCTACTCCGTGTCCTATAACATATTTGAATGTGTTTTTTTGGTTTAGTTGAATGTGTCAACAAACTTGTTAGGATGTGGCAACATTTAAAAGGTTTTATATTTTGGCTACAACAGAACTTGTAATCTCCCAACCTTGGAAATGACTACCACTAAACAAAAAGCTAACACGAGAGAAAATGATAGAACAAAGAAACCACTCAAATCTTACCACATATTCATCCTGAAGACACTTTCCAGCATTCTCTGTAATTTCTACAATCTTGTGGTAGTGACCACCCTTTAATTCCCTCAGATCTTCACAGCAAGGAACAATCATGGAATTGAGATTTCCACAAGCATCATGGTCAAGTTGTAATGAATCTGCAAGAGTTTTGTTCATCAGTGGACAAAAACATTTATTAAGACATTCAATCCATATACACGAAAAATTGGATACTGACGGTCAATGGATGAGAGCAAATTATTGTTTGCAGCATCTACATCCTCAAGTGCAGCTGATACAGAAGATGAAAACTGTGTGCATAGGACTTGATTGGCTTCCATTCCTCCACTAAATGAATTAAGGAATGAAGTTAGTAGTATCTCGACTGAGAAGCCAAAATGATAATACTCATAGGAGCTGGAATTACCTAACAATGGAATTCACAGAAGCAACATTGCTTTTTTCTAGATTGAGCAGGGATTCTTGAGCATTTGTCCATTGTTGTGCACCCATTCTTGCCTTGTTCAAACTGAACATGTTTGTTTGGAATAAATTCAGCAGAGAAACTAGACAAGCATCCCAAGCATTCCATACAATAATAGGACCCACAAGGCTAAATAACTGATTTGGAAAAGTAGCCTTACCAGTTATGAAGAACATCCTCCAAGTCTTTCTTTCCACTCTCCACCACAGAAGTGTCCTCAAGATAGTTTGATTCTGTTTTTTCCATGTGGACTGTCCATTCAGTTTTAATAGTAGATGTGGAATCCTGCATGGTGGACATTTCTTGCTGTAGTTTACTGGTTCTGCTGTTTGCACTCTGCCGGAGATCATGGACCGCCATTTGGACCTAAAGAACAAACACTAGGTTACTTACCATTCAAAGCCTACTTGTCAATCCCGATAACTACAATAATGGAATGCAATGCAAACCAGTTTTTTCTTCCTTGCATTTGAATTTGCTAGTAACTCTGCCACCTTTTCCAATAATTGCCTTTCTTCATCTGCAGCACACGCCTACAGTACAAATAAATGCAATGTTAAAAGGCATAACAAAGAACCTCGTACGATTTACAATTTTTAGAATACCACTGCTTATCTACCTCAAACTTTTTTTCTAGTTCAGACAATTTCTGATCATTGACTGTTTGTGCTTCTTCCACAATTTGGGTCAGGTTGGACGCATGCATGTCTAGAGTCTTGAAGAAGTTCACTGTTAATTTAGAAACTGACCTTGCAGTGTCTACAGCTCTATAATGTGCCTGTATAAAATATGAAAAAAAAAAAAATCATTTATGATGTGATAAAATCTAAACATCCCCCAGGTATTGGATAGCAGAACTGATTACAAACCTCACGCTGTTGTTTTGCATATGCAGTTAGCTTCTCCTTTTGCGTGTGAAGACTACTTTGGAGATCATTCAGTAATGCATCAGCTTCTGAAGCAATACCTTGGAAAAGCTGAATCAAGTACAATTTAAGTCAGAGAGCAATGAAGAACTTCCCTTTCATGTGGCAGTTCACTTTGGATACTCTGTCGAAGAAGTTTACTCTATATTAACTGCAAGGAACTTACACCCTCAAGAGCATGTGAATGCTTGGAAACTTCAGAATTTAGATTGCCAAAAGTTGATCGAGAATTTCCCTCAAGTTCCTTAGCCATATGATCCAAAGCTTGGATACCTGACCCATACATGGTTTTCAGCTTTCCAACCCTTCCTCGAAGTTCTTCTGTTGCCTTTATCCATGCCAAAATTAAACATGTCAGAAATATAACTATGACCAAGTTGCGGGTTAACATCTTGTCCAGAACTTACATCCGCCTTTGTCAACACGAAAGACTGCATATCTTCCTCCATATCTTTCAGTTGTTGTTCCTGTTGAGTCACAGAAGTTGCCACAGTCTTGTGCAAGACCTCTAGTTGCTGGGTCAATTGGGACTGGAATTTCTGGATAAGTACTCTGTTTCCATCTTCAATTTTATCTTTCCGTTCTGAAAAAATTATCAACTATAAATGACCAGCTGTATTTTCATTAAAGATGATACAAACAAAGTCAACTTCCAAACTAATACAAACCTATTTTGGAAAATAAACTAGATATATCTGATGCAGCATTTTCTAGTTCTGCTCGAAGATCAAATGCACGTTCAACGAGAGCTTTCTCTGAAAGATTGAAGTTTATCATTTTTAGGCAAGCCAATCACATATATACGTTAAACAAGTATCCAAATTATATCTAAAACAAAACATTCGACAGAAACAGCTCAAACTTCTATCACATAAATTATACTGATTAACAAATGTAAGTTAAACCCAAATCCCGTAAGTTTTTTGGACACCCTTTGGAGCCTTAGCCTATGGAGCACCTCAGAAATTGAAAGCAGGACAGGGTGAAGAAATTGCTTCCTTCAGTGATATCCAAAATATTTCTTTCCGCTATTCTTCTACAAGAAAAATTTGTGCTATCATAGACAAATCAAACTGAAGTACAAGATGTCTCAGCTCACCAGATTTGAGGAGATTAGATATCAAAAATTCCTTCTCTTTTATCGTTGCATTCGCCTGTCTGTGTTTTTCTTCTAGATCAAACAATGAATTTTCAGTTTCCTCGAGCTTTTTCTGCATTCACATTTAAGGCAGAAATTCAAATCTTTTGCTTCTGAGAGCAAGAATGACTATATGTTAAATACTTTTAAAATATTAGTTACCTCAGTTTTTTCAAGTTTCTCACTTAATTCTGCTGTCAAATGTAGCTGAGAATTGTAGAGTTCCTGAAGCTCCATCAATTGCTGATAACAAGTGACAACATAAGCATTAGTCTGGGTTTTGCACTGACAACTAGCATAAAGCTGCGATGAAATGTAACTCCTTATGAAACATACCTTGTCTTTGGATTCTGATTCAAGTTCCATTCGCTCCATTTTTTCAGCCATTGCCTGTGACAAGACAGACAAAAAGAATTAACAATATTACAATATTAACAGTAAAAGTCGGTTTCATTCACCCTATTTTTTCAGCTATTAGCCAACTGTATGGTAAGAAGTAAACCTTCTTTTCAGCCTCTTCTTGTAGATAACGATCTCGTGGTATATAGATTCCATTTTTCTCTCTTGCAGCATATACCTCTGAATGAACACAAAAGATATGTCAACTCAATACAAGTTACTTCCAAAGTCCAATTGCATTAATATATTTGAGATGCATCATTGCAGAATTTTGTAAGAAATAGTAAACTACCTTGCTTCAGCCGGTCAATTTCAGAGTACAGATCCTTGATCATTGCAGATTTCATCATCTTTTGGTTGATCTGAAATTATGACCAACATAAAATATTACAGCATGCTGTATGAGAAGATAGCACTGACCAATAAGCAAGTAAACCATAACAGTGCGTATAAAAGGCACCACTGACCTCTGGCTTGTTCTTGATATTCTTGGCACGATGTGCATAATCTAATGTGCTAAGTGTTTCTTCCAGACAATGAATCGAGGGTGATATAGTGGCAATTATGCATGTTTTTGTTTTCCCTCCCAAGGAATCCCTTAATAGCCTTGTCAATTTGCTATCCCTGGACATCCATACCAATATTGTATTATCACTCATATGGTTTGAAGCATAACAGAGAAGCTAATGAGAGTTAAACAAACTTTTAATGTGTACTACCTGTATGGAACATGACCAGAATGCTCGACGAGGGCATTGATCACACGACCAAGTGTAAGCAAGCTCTTATTGATCTCTCCTGCCTCCCTTGCTCTTCCCTGCAAGAGTAATTTTCTTCAGAATCAATATTTTAGGATGTAAACGTTCCTATGAAAGGTTGGTAAAACTAAGAAGAAATCAAAATAAATTCTTGAAGAGATTTCAATTTTGACAAATTTTAGATCGACTAATTCATAAAGTGCATCGCATACATATTCTCTCTTGGTTAAATTAACATGTACGTAGAATAGAGTGATAATAATATGAGTTGTGATGCATACCTCTCGTGCTCCAGAACGAGAAATATTCTCTGAACCAGCAAGGTCAACAAGGTTCAGCTTTCCACATTTGATCATCTCTTCCCCTTCAGGAGTACATTCTTTAATGTGAATG